ACAGAGCGAAACGCACATTCGGAAATGCCGAAAGGTTCATCACCCTGATGAGAGGAGGAACACCATTGGTCCGTTTCACAAACGAAAGACGATACCAACTGTAGAGCATGAGTGCAACCACAACTCGACTCGGTACATCGTGGAACATAGTACGACGACCTAACGTCCTGAATAAACATCTTCTGGTTCTGCGGGCAGAAAGAGAGACTTTCGAAACTCAACTAGAGCTTCTTACGTTGAAGAAGGACCGTGAGGAAAGGGCCGAAACGTCGACGACTCGGCCTTGACAATCATGCCGTTATGCACCCTGCTTTTTTATGTATAAACAAGCCGTGTGTTTTACGCTGCTTTCAAGAAGCCTTTCTCGTGCAACCTAATAAGCGTATAAACAGGACACTGGCAAATAATAGGAACCAAATAATTTTTTTTTAAAAAACTACTAAAACTACTTAGTCAGCAGCTGCGGACCACGAGACAAACTTCGGAAATCAACTCTGAACACGTTGCGAAAGGCCACGAGACAGTAGCCGAAACGATGGTATCCGGTAATCACCCGGCTGAGCCGCTTTTTGGGTCGCGTAAGAGTATCACCATCATCCTGGTTTTACACACACACACACATTCTAACAGCTCTACGACAGGAACCAAATAACGAAATGGGTGCATTGTCGTGTCGGCGTCGAAAGTTCGTTTGGTCATAAACCTGTTTATATGATAGCTTATATGTTTGCGTTGTGCATAGCTACTTCGTGAAGAACGACCACCAAGTACGATTCGAGTAGTCGTCAAAAACCGTGTGCATGCTACTGTAACGCGTTCAGCTCTGCATAGACTACATCGGGTCAGTCGAAAACAGAAACACGCGGCTTTCATGGCGCACCATGGCCAAGCGTGCCCTCGAACCAACACCCGTGCACTGTCTCTCCTGCGGGACTGTGACTTGCGCTGAGGCTGAGGTGTAGGAGGCAACCGGTGGCCGAAAGTCTGTATTACCGATAAACGTTGTTTACAGCGTATTCGCACCTTTTGTGAACGTTCAAACAACTCCCTAGGACCGAGACAGTTCGGTCACGTTGGTCAACAACAAAACTCGAACCTGGCGTCCGTGTGCCCGCGGTTCCACCGGTGAGGTGAGTGTGAGTCGCAGGTGGAAGCAAGGAGTTCGCCGGCGCGCGCTTTCGAGGACCGAGTGCTCAAAGAAGCGTCGGAGGAACGGCGTGACTCGTCGTCGTCGTCTTGACGGTACGAGCTGCGATCGGCGGCGGGCGAATTTGTTTTTCACTTGTTGTCGACTCTGCACCGAAGCCGCCGAGGCTTCGCCGCCGGTTCCTGGCCGGTCATCTTCTTCTTGCAATAAACAACAAACAATAGATAGATCACACACTCAACGCCGAACTTGATTTTCCGCCCTGCCACCGAAATCCGTCCGTCCGTCAATAAGAAAATATTTACGACACCGATGAACCGCGCCGCACGGCCGTTGGCGTTCCTACACGTGTTCGCCACACTACGTTGCTTGACCACGTGTCCTGGCTAGCTCCGCTGGCTGGCCCGCAGGCTTTCACATGTACGACGAGACGACGATGAGGGAACCACTTACCGTCGCCACCTCCGTCGTAGCGAAATCAACTAACCGACGACTGACCGTTACCGATGGCCGCTGGCCAACTGAACCATGTGGCTAACATGAAACGACCCGACGGCTGGAAGCACATCATCGGTGTCATGTCCAACCCGGTCTGTTGCCGATGAACGTACGGTAACGAAGGACGGTTTTCTTTCTAGAACCTCGTGCTGGTCCGATGCAGACATACCGGTGAAGTGGTACCAGCAAGTGCACACCGCGACCGCGTTCGCCCATTGAATGCTGACGCACAAACAGAACAGAACCTGATCGCAATGAGGAACGATTACGGACAACTGTCGACCAGCCAGCTAAGACAAACGCAAGATACATCGCAACAGGTCCGAAGAAGCAGTCCGCTTCGCTTCACTGGTGTGTGTTCCGTTCAGCTCGATGAGCCTGCTGGACAATGGTCAGACCACGATGGACAATTCAGCCAGCTGGCACGGTGATACGAACGAAGTCATGCAACACCCACCGTCGAAGCTCCATTCGAGACTGGTTCTCTCTTCGAC